ACATGAATACATGTGGATTGTTAAACATTAAAAATAAGACCTACCCAAAAAATAAGACCGTGTGTTTTTTTGAGTCCCCAAAAAAGATAAGTCTTATTTTCGGGGGAAACACGGTAGTAAGGGGTATGTTGGACTACCACAAAGAGAACTCTGAAGAGAGAGACTGCTATAAATCATCCTCTAGTTTATGGCTGGTGGAAAGGTCGATTTCTTCCAAAAGAAGCTCAGTGCCAGTAAAACAAACAGAACGTAGCCAAACATTATGAACTCAGTTTACTTTTAGCTGAAACTTCAGTTGTGCTTTAATTTAGATGTGCCACAGGCATCTATGGAAATGTAACAATGTCCAGCCTTCAGCAGAGCAGTGCCAGAGGACTACTTTGCTGGTATGAAGCAGTGCAGTGATCTGGTGCATACAGCTGCCTGTAAGCAGAATCTAATGCATCGTGTGGAGCGTTTCTAATGTTCTGTCTCCATGTAGACCAACAGAAGTAGAGGAACTCCCCAGTTATTCGCTTTTTAAACCAACACATGACAAAAGGAAAACATTGGGCCCAATCCCATATTTAGGAGTGCAGTGCTGAGAAGTTTCATTGCATGTAGTTATGTTTGACTGGCACGGTCTACCTTAGAAACTGCTGAGAGGGAGTTACAGTGCAAATTAGAATGGAGGACCAACTAGAAATAAAGTGGCCTTTTATTTCAGCAGCTATTAACATCAGTTACTTAGAAAACCAGTGCTGTTCAAAACAGATTTTCCCCCAACCCAACCCCTGTGTTAGTAGTTCAAGCATTATGGCACAGAGCAGGATCTTAAGCAGGATAAGGGCTAAACTACACTGGCAATTTTAATCTCTTGCTACTAAGAGATTTAAAGTACTAAAGGCTCCTGTACAACATTCTAAACAAGTAACAAATCCAGTTATGTTATACACAGGCCTTAGATTACAGAAAAAACTTCCTTTACCTTCCATGACTGAGCCAAATCCTCCATCTGCGTCTCACAGGCTCCCCCTCCCAAACAGTGCAGCTTACAGTGGGAGAGTTTTAGCAACAGAGGCAGTGCCGTCAATCCAGAAAGCAATGGAAGGCCATAGTTGTGCTTTAAACACTTGCTGTCCCACACCTAATTAGGCCAGAGTCACACAGGAGATTTTAACTGGCTCAAGCATGCTGGCAAAAACCGATTCCTTGCTAGCAATTAACCACTAAGCTAAAAGGAACAAAAAAAGGTCCTCTATGCAGCGAGCTGCACAAGGAGGATATAGTAGCAATCTCAAAAGACTGCACAATGCTTCAAACATGCCAGATCTACACCATAGGGAGCCACTTTATTTTTAGTAATTAGTTGCTGCAATTTTTGTAGAATGATCGAGCTGCCAAAAATCTCCTGTGTATATCTAGTATAAGGCGAGTGCCAGCAAATTGTTAAGCCTCATTCACGCGAGAAAAAGCCGGCACGTACAGCCCCGCGCACGGCCGTATCAGACAGCTCCTGGGAAGGACAGGTGCTGGGTGTGATTAGCATGCAGCCCATCTTTCTCTATGGGAGTACACGGCCGCACACCCCCCTACAATCACCAACCCTGCACATCTGTGCGGGTGTCCGTACTCGTACGCTGACAGGATGGATCCTGTCTGCATCTGAACCGGGACACCGGCACGGACCTGCACTTTGGGTGAGTGTAGGGCCGGGTACTCCCATAGAGGACAGGGGCTGCGTACTAATCACACCCAGCACCTGTCCTTCCCGGGAGCTGCCCGATACGGCCGCGCACAGAGCTGTACGTGCCGGCCTTATCTTGTGTGAATGATGCCTTAAATTGCTCAGTAACAAGAGATTAAAGTTGCCCATTAACCTTATCCCTAAATTTGGGCCTTATAATTCACACCTGAAAAGCAGAATATTTGGGCTTGTTCAAAAAAAAAAAATGGTGCAGGGAACAAAGTTCAGCTACCCAAGGTATCCACAATTTGCTCAACTAAAATTGGAAAACAAGATGGCTCCTAAAAAATGCGATTGCTTTCTGTTACCTGCAGGGAACTGACAGATTTTACAAACACATACCCTACCTGGCTGCCTGATCTATTCCATGTGTACACATAAGAACGGAAACAGTCACAACATCATGCATAGCAGACACATTGAAACAGATCATATATACATATCGTAGCTTGCATTCTCAAAAAAAAAAAAGTGGGCAGTGCATGTGTTCCAAACACTGAAGCTTTTATTAAGCATTAATAAAATGTTACACTGAATTTCGCATTTATTACAAAGCACCATCTAAGAAACAAGGAAGAGAGAATACATTCGTTCCAACAGCTAAAATGAAAGCAAAATCTCAAATACGATTGACCACAAACGGCATCAAAACTATCTCAATTTAGAAATGTAAAAGGACAGTTGTGCTTTCATTAGGATATGTGCTTGTCCCTTTATTGAACACAAGTCCAGTATAATGCAGTGTGGCCTGCAACCGCTCAAAGCTATGTGTACTCTGTGCCCTGATGTCAATAAGCTCCCTCCGACCACCCAGGGGGTCTCGTGTTTAAGAGTTTACCGTTTGGTAAAGGAAGACCCAAACTTCAGCCTTACCTTCAGATTTTCCACAGTTGTACCGGCTCCTCTCCTGTATGGAAATTGCTTGCTCTGATTGCACTGTACACTGATCTACTTAATGTGCATTAGAAGCTGCAGCAAGTCAGATAGAGGCCCACCTCATTTCCTGACTGGAGGATGTCAATCTAGTGCTTTCTCCATCAGTCATAATGTCCTTGGCGCACCCCTTTCATTCATTGGATTTCAGCTCTTTCAATCACAGCAGCCTAGCATCACGTGTGCGTCTTACCTAGGACAGTCTGCATGCAAATGCAGCCTGGTTAGGAATGCCCACTCCTCCAGACTGACATCTACCATCAAGGCATTTTGACAATGCGTCTCAAGAGCCAGCTCACTGCTTCAATGCAGAGTGCTATTGAGGGGAGTACCTAGGCAGGGTGTTGGCATTTTCTCAGGAAGCTGTGTAGAGCAGTCAGCTCCTTTATGCAAAGCAGGCAGATCATGGACCAGCAGAGTACTGTACAAAGCTTCCTGAAAAGATCACGCTGAGCATGAGCCATGATTAAAAGAACTGAAATCCAAAAGAATGAAGGGGGTTGAACAGGGATAGTAAGGCTGGGGAGGAAAGCGCCAGATTTTTGATATGTTCAAGTGAGCAAATGAGGCGACTTGCTGCAGTTTCTAATGCACACTGTGAGAAGCTCACATCAGAATAAGCAATTTCAATTCAGTAGAGGAGCCTGTAAAACGGCACAAGACTGAAGTTTAGCTTTACACAAGGTGATAGCACATAGAAAGTAAGCTTCAGCAACACTTGAGAAATGACTATAGGAG